TTTTTGAGGAGATTCCACTGATTTTGAGGGAAAACCCACAAATTCTGACAGTTTTGGGGAGGGTTCAGATTCCACCAATTTGAGGGGGAAAAACCCACAAATCCCAACAGGTTTTTGGTTTTGTTTTTTGGTTTTTTTTAGGTGAGAGATTCCAACAATTTTTGGGGGAAAAACAAATTCCAGTAGATTTTTTTTTGGGGGGGGGAGGGGGAAATTCCAACAATTTTGGGGGGGGGAAATCCCACAAATTCTGACAATTCCAATGATTTTTGAGGTGGCACAGACAGGTGGGACTGGCAGGTGACAGGTGGGACTGGGAGGTGACAGGTGGGACCGGCAGGTGACAGGTGGGGCTGGGAGGTGACAGGTGGACCGGCAGGTGACAGGTGGCACAGGCAGGTGACAGGTGGGGCTGGCAGGTGACAGGTGGCACTAGGAGGTGATAGGTGGGACCGGCAGGTGACAGGTGGGACCAACAGGTGACAGGTGAGACCAGCAGGTGACAGGTGGGACCGACAGGTGACAGGTGGGACCGACAGGTGACAGGTGGCACTGGCAGGTGACAGGTGGCGCTGGGAGGTGACAGGTGGCACAGGCAGGTGACAGGTGGTGCTGGCAGGTGACAGGTGGGACAGGAAGGTGACAGGTGGCGCTGGCAGGTGACAGGTGGGACTAGGAGGTGACAGGTGGGCCCAGCAGGTGACAGGTGGGACAGGCAGGTGACAGGTGGGACCGACAGGTGACAGGTGGGCCCAGCAGGTGACAGGTGGGACCGGCAGGTGACAGGTGGCACTGGCAGGTGACAGGTGGCACTGGGAGGTGACAGGTGGGACCGGGAGGTGACAGGTGGGACCAGCAGGTGACAGGTGGCACTGGCAGGTGACTCACAGCGTCTGCATGTTGGCCTTGGTGAGCTCGAAGGCCCAGTCGAGGGTGGAAGGTTCCAGAGCGCAGGCCCGGCGGCACTCGATGGACACGTTGAGACTGCGGGAGAACCCAGAGGGGACGTGGTGGGGACATCAGGGACAGGCCCGGGGGACGCCGGCAGCGCCCGGGGATGGCCCTGGGGACACGTCAGTGGCACTGGGAACGGCTCCAGGGACACCTGGTATGGCCTTGGGGACACCGGGAATGGCCCTGGGGACACGTCAGTGGCACTGGGAACAGCTCCAGGGACACCTGGTATGGCCTTGGGGACACCGGGAATGGCCCTGGGGACACTGGGAACGGTCCAAGGGACACCTGGAAGATGTTGAGGTCACTGGAAGTCACCCCAGGGCCCCCTGGAATGGCCCGAGGGACACCAGGACCGGCCCCAGGGACACCGGGAATGGCCCCAAGGACACCGGGAATGGCCCCAAGGACAACAGGGAATATGCTGAGGTCACTGGAAGTCGCCCCAGGGCCCCCTGGAATGGCATGAGGGACACCAGGAATGGCCAGAGGGACACCTGGAATGGCCCCAGGGACACCGGGAATGGCCCCAGGGACATTGGGAATGGCCCCAGGGACACCAGGGAATATGCTGAGGTCACTGGAAGTCACCCCAGGGCCCCCTGGAATGGCCTGAGGGACACCTGGACTGGCCCCAGGGCCCCCTGGAATGGCCTGAGGGACACCAGGACTGGCCCCAGGGACACCTGGAATGGCCTGAGGGACACCAGGAATGGCCCCAAGGACACCAGGACTGGCCCCAGGGCCCCCAGGACCAGCCCCAGGACAGGGCCACCACTCACCCGTTGCGGTCGTACTTCTTGAACACCGGGAAGGCTTCCAGGGGGTCTTGGAGCTGGAAGAGACCAGAGAGCAGCCGGGGGGCAGCGGGGGCCGCGGGCGGGGCGGGGGGTCGGGCCCCGCCGGGCCAAACTCACTTTGTTGGCGGCCTCGACCCGGGCGCAGACGGCGGCCATGGCGGCGCGTTCCTCCAGCCGCCGCTGCTTCTTCTCCTTGGCCCTGCTCGACTTCCTCTGTGTGAATAAAAACACCCCAAAATGGGCACAGATCATCCTGAGAGCCCCACAGACAAACACACCCCACACAGCCCCACAAACAAACACCCCACGGCCGCGCGCTCCTCCAGCCGCCGCTGCTTCTTCTCCTTGGCCCTGCTCGACTTCCTCTGTGTGAATAAAAACACCCCAAAACGGGCACAGATCACCCTGAGAGCCCCACAGACAAACACACCCCACACAGCCCCACAGACAAACACACCCCACACAGCCCCACAGTCCAACACCCCACGGCCATGGCGGCGCGCTCCTCCAGCCGCCGCTGCTTCTTCTCCTTGGCCCTGCTCGACTTCCTCTGCGTGGATAAACAGGCACAGATCACCCTGAGAGCCCAAAAAATGGGCACAGATCACCCTGAGAGCCCCAGAGACAAACACACCCCACACAGCCCCACAGACAAACACACCCCACACAGCCCCACAGACAAACACACCCCACACAGCCCCACAAACAAACACCCCACAGCCATGGCCGCGCGCTCCTCCAGCCGCCGCTGCTTCTTCTCCTTGGCCCTGCTCGACTTCCTCTGTGTGGATAAAAACACCCCAAAATGGGCACAGATCACCCTGAGAGCCCAAAAAATGGGCACGGATCACCCTGAGAGCCCAAAAAATGGGCACAGATCACCCTGAGAGCCCCACAAACACCCCCCAAAACGGGCACAGATCACCCCAAAAGCCCCACTGGTGCCGCTGCTGCTACCAGAGACGCGGCCCCGCAGCAGCAAAACCCCCAGAGCTTGGCCCTGCCACCAATTATAATATTGATATTAGAGTATTATAAAGAATACCAATTATTGTATACATACTATATAAATATATAATACATAGTTATATGTTAAATATTATAGTATTATTGTATATTACATTATATATATAATACAGTTATATATTATATATTGTAGCATTATTATATATGTATACTTTAGCATCACTATATATTATAGTATTATACATAGTATACATCCATTATTAAATGTGTTATATACAATACCAACTACTATATATATTTTATGTTATCTCTATATGTATTACATATTTTTATTATTAAAATATTATTTTATATTACAATTAAATATAGTACATTAGAATGTAGCAATGTATTATTATATACATTATATAGTGTTGGCAATATATTATATATTATTACATACTATTACATATTACTATATATTGCAATATGTTATATAGCATTATATATTATAACATATTAATAAAATATTATATTATAATTTACTATATGTAATATATATAGTGTACTGTAATATATTATTATAATAATATATTATTTACATATATAATACATATATTTCATATATATCTATTATATAAATATGTTGCATATAATCTCTACTATAGAACCGATTTTAATATTGATACCAATTATAATATTGATAACTATTGTTATCAACAATAACACAGAACAACCCAAACCCCACGGGCATAAAAAAAAAAAATAGCAACAGGTGGCCGTTAAAGAAGTAGGGTTCTCACTAAAAGCCCAGCAGAAAAAGGGGGATTTAAGGGTAAAAAGCACCGTTTTGATGATCACACAAGTTGTTTTTATCGCTGAGGGGATGCTGGGGGGGGCCCTCAGAGTCCCAAATCCCCAAGAAAGGTCCCAAATCCACTCCTAGCAGCCCTCGAAGAGCCTCCCCATCCTCTCAGACGGCCCCAAATCCCTACAAATGGTCCCAAAACTCTACACAGGAGCCCCCAGGACCCTTCAGAGGGTCCCAAACCCCCACCAAAGATCCCAAATCCCCTCACGGAATCCCCTGGATCCCCTCAGGGGAGCTCCCACAGCCCCTCGGACGACCCCAAACCCCCACCGAAGTTCCCAAATCCCCTCACGGAATGCCCTGGATCCCCTCAGGGGAGCTCCCACAGCCCCTCGGGCGGCCCCAAACCCCCACCAAAGATCCCAAATCCCCTCACGGAATCCCCTGGATCCCCTCAGGGGAGCTCCCACAGCCCCTCGGGCAGCCCCAAACCCCCACCGAAGTTCCCAAATCCCCTCACGGAATCCCCCCCCACCCCTCCCAACACCCTCAGACGACCCCAAACCCTCTCCGCGGCGCCTCGCGGGCCCCGCCCCCGCTGCCTTTCCCCTGCGGGCCCGGGCTCACCCCCATGCCGGCGGCGGCGGCCGCAGCTCCTCACGGCGCGGGGGGCGCGGGGGGTCTGAGGGGGCGCGCGCGGGGGGCGCCCTATTTATAGTGGGGGGCGCGGGGAAGGGGGAGGCAGAGCTCGCGCGGAGCGAGGAAAGGGCGGGGCGCGCGAGGAGGGGCCGCGCGTGCGCGGAGGGGCCGCCCGGGATTGGATGGGGGAGCGGGCGCGTGGCGGCGGCGCTGGGCGCGAAGGCGGCTCGGCGCTGATTGGCTCAGGGGGGCTGGGCGCGAAGGCGGCTCGGCGCTGATTGGCTGGGGGGGCTGGGCGCGAAGGCGGCTCGGCGCTGATTGGCTGAGGGGGGCTGGGCGCGAAGGCGGCTCGGCGCTGATTGGCTGAGGGGGGCTGGAGGGCGGGGCGAGCGGCGGAGGACACGCCCCCTCCGTGCGCTGAGGGGACAGGGGCCGCCATTGGCCCAAAGACACCAATAATGGAAATAAACCCAGGTATGGAACCAAAACAGACCGTGGGGTGGTCCCGGAGACACCAATAATGGAAATAAACCCAGGTATTGAACCAAAACAGACCGCAGGGTGGTCCCAGAGACACCAATAATGGAAATAAACCCAGGTATTGAACCAAACCAGACCGCGGGGTGGTCCCAGAGACACCAATAATGGAAATAAAACCAGGTATTAAACCAAACCAGACCGCCACTGAGGGGCTGGGAGGGAATGGGGGGACCAAAGACACCAATAATGGAAATAAACCCAGGTATTGAACCAAAACAGACCGCAGGGTGGTCCCAGAGACACCAATAATGGAAATAAACCCAGGTATTGAACCAAAACAGACCGCCATTGAGGGGCTGGCGGGGGAATGGGGGGACCAAAGACACCAATAATGGAAATAAACCCAGGTATTGAACCAAAACAGACCGCGGGGTGGTCCCAGAGACACCAATAATGGAAATAAACCCAGGTATTGAACCAAAACAGACCGCAGGGTGGTCCCAGAGACACCAATAATGGAAATAAAACCAGGTATTGAACCAAAACAGACCGTGGGGTGGTCCCACAGACACGGTAACGGAACCAAACCAGACTCTGATTGGGCCCCACAGATACCGTTCCAGAAACAAACCCACCCAGCCCCACAGACCCCAGTACGGCCCCCCAGACCCCAAGACGGCCCCATAAGCCAGTCCCAGGGCCCCGGTATGGCCCCAAACCAGGGCCCCCAAAACCCGGGTGGCAGAATCAAACCTAGCCCTGGTGTAACCCCACAGACTCCAGCCTGGCCCCACAGCCCCCAAACCAGCCCCGCAGCCCGACCCCATAACCCTCAGCCCACCCCATAACCCAGCCCCACAGCCCGACCCCATAACCCTCAGCCCACCCAATAATCCAGCCCGACCCCATAACCCTCAGCCCACCCCATAACCCTCAGCCCACCCCATAACCCAGCCCCACAGCCCGACCCCATAACCCTCAGCCCACCCCATAACCCTCAGCCCACCCCATAACCTCAGCCCACCCCATAACCCTCAGCCCACCCCATAACCCAGCCCAACCCATGACCCAGCACCCTCAGCCCGACCCCATAACCTCAGCCCACCCCATAACCCGGCCCGACCCCATAACCCTCAACCCACCCCATAACCCAGTCTACACCCACCCCATAACCCTCAGCCCACCCCATAACCCTCAGCCCACCCTATAACCCAGCCCAACCCCATAACCTCAGCCCGACCTCATAACCCTCAGCCCACCCCATAACCCAGCCCGACCCCTATAACCCTCAGCCCACCCTATAACCCTCAGCCCACCCCATAACCCTCAGCCCACCCCATAACCTTCAGCCCACCCCATAACCTTCAGCCCACCCCATAACCCTCATCCCACCCCATAACCCAGCCCAACCCCATAACCCTCAGCCCACCCCATAACCCTCAGCCCACCCCCATAACCCAGCCCGACCCCATAACCCTCAGCCCATCCCATAACCCAGCCCACAGCCAACCCATAACCCTCAGCCCACCCCATAACCCAGCCCGACCCCACAACCCTCAGCCCGACCCCATAACCCTCATCCCACCCCATAACCCAGCCCAACCCCATAACCCTCAGCCCACCCCATAACCCTCAGCCCACCCCATAACCCAGCCCGACACCATAACCCTCAGCCCACCCATAACCTGCCCCACCCCATAACCCTCAGCCCACCCCATAACCCTCAGCCCACCCCATAACCCAGCCCACCCCATAACCCTCAGCCCACCCCATAACCCACCCCCACAGCCCCCCCCATGGCCATGAACACCCCCAGATGGAGGGCAATGCAGGAAACAAGGGGTGACAGGGTGGATCGGGCTCCCAACCCCACAGATCCCCCAGCCCCATAACAGCCCCTGGCCCCCATTGACCCCCCCAGCCCCATAACAGCCCCCTGGCCCCCATTGACCCCCCAGCCCCATAACAGCCCCTGCCCATTGGCCCCCAGCCCACTGACACCCCAGCCCCATAACAGCCCCTGGCCCCTTTACCAGCCCCCCCAGCCCCATAACAGCCCCCTGGCCTCCCCATTGACCCCCAGCCCCATAACAGCCCCCTAGCCCCATAACAGCCCCCTAGCCCCATGACCCCCCAGCCCCATAACAGCCTCTGCCCCCATTGACAGCCCTCCAGCCCCATAAAGCCCCCAGCCCCATAACAGCCTCCTGACCCCCCATTGACCCCCAGCCCCATAACAGCCCCCTGGCCCCCATTGACCCCCAGCCCCCCCATTGACCCCCAGCCCCATAACAGCCCCTGGCCCCCATTGACCCCCCAGCCCCCATTGACCCCCTAGCCCCATAACAGCCCCAGCCCCACAGACACCCCCAGCCCCACAACAGCCCCTGGCCCCCTCCAGCACTTTGTCCCCCCTGCTGCCCCCCGGTCCCTTTGTTGTCCCCCCAGCCCCACACCGGGGTGGGGTGACGGTGACACGACCCCCCACCCATGCCGAGGGTCCCCCTCCCCACGACCCCTCCCCAAACCCACCCCACGCCCCTCCCCACTCCCCCCGAGGTGCCGCGGAGGTGCAGGGGGCGGGGGCCGTGCTGAGGCTGGGACTACTTTGGCACCGGGAGCGGCCGTGGCGCTTGTGTGGCCTCGGGACCCCTCGAGACCCCCCAAACGCCCCTTCCCACCCACCCCTCCTCAGCTTTACCCTATTTTTGAGGAGGAGGGGCGTCCCCTCCTTCTCTTCCCGCCTCCCCCATCCCAAACCCCTCCCCAAATTTCCTCCACGCCCCCCTCCCCAAATCACCGGGGCTGGGGGAAAGTTTGGCGAGGGGGCTGCGGGGCTGAGACCCTCCCCACGCACCCTCACCCGTGGGTCTCGAGGGGGTCCCCATCGCCCCCGGCGATGCCGTCGGTGATGGAGAAGCCCTGGGGATCCTGTCCTGCAGCCGGGCCAAGGCAGGGGCGGCCGCAGGACCCCTGAGGAGGACGAGGCCAGCGAGGACGAGCACGCCCACGGTGAGTGACCCCACCACCCCTCTACCTGCGCGACTCCCCAAAACACCCCTGGTGGGTGGTGGTGGGTGCCCCCTCCCCAAAATACAGGACTCGCGTTCACCCCTCGTGTTTCAGAGGGGGTGCTTCCATCACCCCTCTGGGTGGGTGGGTGGGTGGGTGGGCGTGGGGGACACGTGGGGACACGCAGGGGGGGAACAAAGCCCCGTCCCCATTGTCCCCGGGCCGCCCGCGTGAGCGCCCGCAGCTTTGTTCGCCGGCCCTGGGGAGCGGAGGGGGCTCGGCCGCGACCCCCCATCACCTCCGGCACGGGAGACCCCCATCATTAACGACCTCCACCCCCACCCCAGACAGCATGATCCGGGTGGGCGCTGATCACCAGGCGGTGATTCCTGACTGCAAACCGGGTAAGGGGATTTGGGGTGGGAGGGAGGGATTGAGGGGGGATTGAGGTGTCCCCCCACCCCCTCTGAGCCCCTGTTTGGCCCCCTGCCCCCAGAGAGCCCTGCTCGGTACAGCAACAAGGAGCTGAAGGGATGCTGGTCTGGGCCCCCAACCACTGCGTCTCTGATGCCAAACGTGAGACCCCCACCCCCGGGAGTGTCCCCCATCCCCTGGGCCCCCTTAAACCCCTGACACCCCTTAATCACCCTGACACCCTTTAACCCCTGACACCCCCTTAACCCCTGACACCCCTTTAACCCCTGACACCCCTTAACCCCTGGCCCCCTTACCCCTGACATCCCTTTTACCCCCTGATCCTCCCTTAACCCCCTGACACCCTTCACCTCCTGATCCTCCCTTAACCCCCTGACACCCCCTTTACCCCCTGACACCCTCTTCACCCCCTGACCCTCTTAACCCCTCTGACCCCCTTTACCCCCCTGACACCCCTTAACTGACCTCTTTTACCCCCCTGACACCCCCTTTACCCTCCTGACACCCCTTTAGCCCCTTGATCCTCCCTTAACCCCCTGACACCCTCTTTGCCCCCTGACATCCTTTACCCCCTGATCCTCCCTTAACCCCTTGACACCCCTTTAGCCCCCTAACCCCCCTTACCCTCCTGACCTTCCCTTTACCTCCCCCAACCTCCCCTGACCCCCAACATCCTTTTATGCCCCTCAACCCCCCTTTACCCCTCAACCCCCAGTCCCCCATATCCCCCCAAGTCCTCTTAACCCCCTTTATTCCCCATTTACCCCCTGCAATCCCTCATATCCCCCTTAACCCCTTACACCCCCAAATCCTCACAACCCCTTTATTCCCCATTTACCCCTGCAATCCCTCATATCCCCCCTAACCCCCTCACACCCCCAAATCCTCACAACCCCCTTAATTCCCTTTTACCCCCTGCAATCCCTCATATCCCCCTTTAACCCCCACACCCCTAGTCCCCCAAATCCTCACAGCCCCACACCCCCAAACCCTCACAGCTCCTTTATTCCCCTCTTACCCTGCAATCCCTCATATCCCCTTAACCCCCATTTACCCCCAAATCCTCATAGCCCCTCTATTCCCTGCAATCCTCATATCCCCCTAACCCCATTTACCCCCCAAATCCTCACAGCCCCCTCTATTCCCCTGCAATCCTCATATCCCCCTTAACCCTCATTTACCCCCCAAATCCTCACAGCCCCCTCTATTCCCTGCAATCCCTCATATCCCCCTTAACCCCCTACACCCCCCAAATCCTCACAGCCTCCACATCCCCCAAATCCTCACAACCCCCACACCCCAAATCCCTCACAGCCCCCACCCCCAAATCCCTCACAGCCCCCTGTCCCCCCTTTGCCCCCAGTGGACCGGTACCTCGCCATGGCCAAGGACAAGCACGGCTACAACATCGAGCAGGTACTGCGTGTGTGCCCCCCAGCCCCCTGTGACCCCCTGTGACCCCCTGTGACCCCTGTGACTCTCTGGCCTCCCAGGCCCTGGGGATGCTGCTGTGGCACAAACACGACGTGGAGAAGTCCTTGGCCGACCTGGCCAACTTCACCCCCTTCCCCGACGAGTGGACGGTGGAGGACAAGGTGCTGTTCGAGCAGGCCTTCAGCTTCCACGGCAAGAGCTTCGCCCGAATCCAGCAGATGGTGAGACCCCACCCCAAAAACCACCCTAAAAACCCCACCCTAAAAATCCCCACCCTAAAAACCCACCCCAAAACCCACCCCCAAAAACCCAGCCTTCAGCTTCCACGGCAAGAGCTTCGCTCAATCCAGCAGATGGTGAGACCCCACCCCTAAAAACCACCCAAACCCACCCTAAAAACCCACCCCAAAAACCCCACCCCAAAACCCCACCCCAAAAACCCCAAACCCACCAAAAACCCAGCCTTCAGCTTCCACGGCAAGAGCTTCGCCCGAATCCAGCAGATGGTGAGACCCCACCCCTAAAAACCCCAGCACCCTAAAACCCCACCCCAAAAACCCCACCCCAAAACCCCACCCCAAAAACCCCACCCCAAAAACCCACCCCCAAAAACCCAGCCTTCAGCTTCCACGGCAAGAGCTTCGCCTGAATCCAGCAGATGGTGAGACCCCCACCCCTAAAACACCCACCCCCACCCCTAAAAACCCACCCCAAAATAATCCCACACCCAAAAAACCCCACCCCAAAACCCCACCCCAAAAATCCCCACCCCCAAAAACCCAGCCTTCAGCTTCCACGGCAAGAGCTTCGCCCGATCCAGCAGATGGTGAGACCCCACCCCTAAAACACCACCCTAAAACCCCACCCCAAAAATCCCCACCCTAAAAACCCCACCCCAAAAACCCACCCCAAAAACCCCACCCCAAAAACCCACCCCCAAAAACCCAGCCTTCAGCTTCCACGGCAAGAGCTTCGCCCGAATCCAGCAGATGGTGAGACCCCCCCCCAAAACCACCCTAAAACCCACCCAAAAATCCCCACCCCAAAAAACCCCACCCCAAAATCCCACCCCAAAAACCCCACCCCAAAAACCCACCCCTAAAAACCCAGCCTTCAGCTTCCACGGCAAGAGCTTCGCCCGAATCCAGCAGATGGTGAGACCCCACCCCTAAACACCCACCCCACCCCTAAAACCCACCCCAAAATAACCCCACCCCAAAAATCCCCACCCCAAAAACCCACCCCCAAAAACCCAGCCTTCAGCTTCCACGGCAAGAGCTTCGCCCGAATCCAGCAGATGGTGAGACCCCACCCCTAAAACACCCACCCCCACCCCTAAAACACCCACCCCACCTAAAAACCCACCCCAAAAATCCCCACCCCAAAAACCCCACCCCAAAACCCACCCCCAAAAACCCAGCCTTCAGCTTCCACGGCAAGAGCTTCGCCTGAATCCAGCAGATGGTGAGACCCCCACCCAAAAACACCCTCCAAAATCCCCAGCACCTAAAAACCCACCCCCAAAACTCCCAGCAGATGGTGAGACCCCCACCCAAAAAAATCCCAACCCCTAAAAACCCCCAGCAGAGGGGAGACCCCCTCTTCCTCCCAAACTTCCTCCAACCCCCCAAAATTCACCCTGTGCTCCTAAACTCCCCCAAACCCCCTAAAACTCACCCTGTCCCCTGTTGCCTCCAGCTGCCAGACAAGCTGATCCCCAGCCTGGTCAAGTATTACTGCCCACCCTGTGCCCCCAAAACTCACCCCAAACCCCCAAACTCATCTTGTGCCCTAAAACTCACCCTAAATCCCCTAAAACTCATCCTGTGCCCCCAAACCCCCAAAACTCACCCTGTGCCCCCAAAACTCACCCCAAACCCCCTGTGCCCCCAGCTGCCAGACAAGCTGATCCCCAGCCTGGTCAGGTTATTACTGCCCACCCTGTGCCCCCAAACTCACCCCAAACCCCCTGTGCCCCCCAAACCCCCTAAAACTCACCTTGTGCCCCCAAACTCCTTCATGCCCCCTAGCTGCCAGACAAGCTGATCCCCAGCCTGGTCAAATATTGTTGCCCACCCCAAACCCCTAAACTCACTCCAACCCCCAAACCCCCAAAACTCACCCTAGCCCCTAAAACTCATCCTGGCCCCTAAACCCCCAGCTGCCGGACAAGCTGATCCTCAGCCTGGTCAAGTATTACTGCCCACCCTGTGCCCCCAAAACTCACCCCAAACCCCCAAAACTCACACTGTGCCCCCAAATTCCTTCATGCCCCAGCTGCCGGACAAGCTGATCCCCAGCCTGGTCAAATATTACTGCCCACCCTGTGCCCCCAAAACTCACCCTAAATCCCCCAAACTCACCCTGTGCCCCCCCAGCTGCCGGACAAGCTGATCCCCAGCCTGGTCAAATATTATTACTCCTGGAAGAAGACGCGGTCCCGAACCAGCGTCATGGATCGCCAGGCCCGGCGCCTGCTGGGCAGGAGGGACCGTGATGACAGGTACTGACCCCCCAAAAACCACCCCAAAACCACCCCAAAAAACACCTCAAAACCACCCCAAAAAACCACTCAAAACCCCCCCAAAATCACCTCAGAAACCACCCAAAACTACCCTCTAAAAAGCCCCAAAAACCCCTAAAGACCCCAAAACCACCCCAAAAGCCACTCAGAACCACCCTAAGACCACCCCAAGAACCCCTAAAGATCATCATCAGGAACCACCCCAGACCAACCCAGAGCTACTCCAAACAAAAACATGCCCAAAGACCACCACAGAACCACTCCAAGACCACTTAGAGACCACTTAGGAACTACTTCGGAACCACCTCAGAAATAACTCCAAGAATCACCTCAAAGACACTTACCCAAAGGCACCTGAGAGCCACCTAGAATACACCCAAGGCCACCTCAGAAACCATACCTAAGACCACTCCAGAACCACCCACAAAACCATCTCAGAAACCAAACCAGAATCACCTCAGAAAGCCCCAAAACCATCCCAGAGACCCCAAAGACCACACCAAAGCCCACTCCCAGAACCCCAAAAAACCCCAAGCCACCCCAGAGCTCCTGAACCACCCTAAGACCCCTAAGACCACCCCTAGAAACCCCCAAAAACCCCCAAAACCACCCAGAGACCCCCAGAGACTCCTCAAACGGCCCCAAAACCTCTCAAAACCACTCAGAGACCCCCCAAAACCACCCCATGCAGCCCTGGCGGCCCCTGACCCCATAACGGACCCCTGACTCCATAACAGCCTCCTGACTTCAAAGCTCCCTGACTTCCCAAAGCCCAGAGACCCCCAGGCCCATCTCACTCTCCCTCCCCCAGCAATGACGAGGACAGACGAGCACCGACCCCCGATGGGGACACCGAGCCCCCAGACCCCAAAAGAGGTTTGGGGGCTGGGAGGGTCGTAGGGGAGGTCACGAGGAGGGGGTGGTTTGGGGGCACAGGGGTTGGGGAGGAGTCTGGGGGCACAGAGGGGCTTTGGGGGTGTTTTGTAGGGTCAGAGGTTGAACTTTGGGGGTTTAGAGGCACAGATTGATTTTAAGGGTTTGAGGGGGCACAGGTGAGGTTTTGGGGGTTTAGGGGCACAGATCGGACTTTGGGGGTTTAGGGGGGGGCACGGGGAGCAAGTGGGAGGCACAGGTTGAGCATTGGGGTTTGGGGTGAGAACAGGTGAGTTTTGGGGGTTTGAGGGCACAGGTCGAACTTTGGGGGGCACAGGTTGGACTTTGAGGGGTTTGGGGGCACAGTCGAACTTTGGGGGCACAGGTCGACTTTGGGTGTTCTAGGGGGCACAGGTCAAGCTTTGGGGACACAGGTCGAGCTTTGGGGGTTCTAGGGGGCACGGGTCAGACTTTGGGGGCCTGGATCGGACTTTGGGGGTCTGGGAGCACAGATCAAACTTTGGGGGGTTTAGGGGCACAGGTCAGACTTTGGGGGTTCTAGAGGCACAGGTCGAACTTTGGGGGGTTTAGGGCACAGAGTCAAACTTTGGGGGGTTTAGGAGGCACAGGTCAGACTTTGGGGGTTTAGGGGCACAGGTCAGACTTTGGGGGTTCTAGAGGGGCACAGGTTGGACTTTGGGGGTTCTGGGGGGGCACAGGTCGGACTTTGGGGGGCACAGGTCAGGCTTTGGGGGTTCTGGGGGGGCACAGGTCAAACTTTGGGGGTTTTAGGGGGGCACAGGTCAGACTTTGGGGGTCTCACATCTGGAGCCCTGGGGGTCCCAGGGGGGTGTGTGTGGCTCAGGACCCCCCCTGTGTGTCCCCCATCGCAGGGGTCGTTCCTGCAGGGGCCGCGCAAGAGCCCCCAGTACCGGCACCACCCCCTCGGCAGCGGCGCCGCCCAAAGGGATGCGCCTGAGCCGGCAGGACGTGGCCGAGGTCACCGCCAACCCCGACCTGGGGGCGCGGGCCCTGCGCCTGCTCGACGGGCAGCTCGTGGCACTCAAACGGCAGGTAACCCCCCGGGACCCCCCTGAGACCCCCAGGGACCCCCAGAGACCCTCCAGAGTGAGGGGGGTACGGGGTGACCCCTCACAGCCAACCCCGACCTGGGGGCGCGGGCCCTGCGCCTGCTCGACGGGCAGCTCGTGGCGCTCAAACGGCAGGTAACCCCCTGGGACCCCCCTGAGACCCCCAGAGACCCCCACAGCACCCAGGGACCCCCCCAGGGCAGAAATAGAACCCCCCAGGGACCCCCAGAGTGAGGGGGGGGTGACCCCTCACAGCCAACCCCAACCTGGGGGCGCGGGCCCTGCGCCTGCTCGACGGGCAGCTCGTGGCACTCAAACGGCAGGTAACCCCCTGGGACCCCCCTGAGACCCCCTGAGCACCCAGGGACCCCCCCAGGGACCCCCAGAGTGAGGGGGGTGTGACCCCTCACAGCCAACCCCGACCTGGGGGCGCGGGCCCTGCGCCTGCTCGACGGGCAGCTCGTGGCGCTCAAACGGCAGGTAACCCCCTGGGACCCCCCCGGGACCCCCCCAGGGATCCCCAGAGCAACATAAACCTCCCCTGGGACCCCCTGGGACCCCAGAGCACCCAGGGACCCCCAGGGACCCCCAGAGTGAGAGGTGTGACCCTCACAGCCAACCCCGACCTGGGGGCGCGGGCCCTGCGCCTGCTCGACGGGCAGCTCGTGGCGCTCAAACGGCAGGTAACCCCCTGGGACCCCCCTGAGACCCCCAGAGAAATATAAACCCCCCCAGAGACCCCCCAGAGTGAGAGGGGTGTGACCCCTCACAGCCAACCCCGACCTGGGGGCGCGGGCCCTGCGCCTGCTCGTGGTGCTCAAACAGCAGGTGACCCCCCCGGGACCCCCAGAGCAACATAAACCCCCCCAGGGACCCCCTTGGGACCCCCAGAGTGAGAGGGGGGTGACCCCTCACAGCCAACCCCGACCTAGGGGCGCGGGCCCTGCACCGGTTCATGGCACTCAAACGGCAGGTGACCCCCAGGGACCCCCAGGGCAACATAACCCCCCTGGGACCCCACAGCACCCAGGGACCCCCCCAGGAACCCCCAGAGTGAGGGGGGCACGACCCCTCACAGCCAACCCCGACCTGGGGGCGCGGGCCCTGCGCTGGTTCGTGGTGCTCAAATGGCAGGTGACCCCCCCAGGGCAACATAACCCCCCCTGGGACCCCCAGGGCTTCCATATAAGCCCCCGGACCCCAGAGCACCCAGGAACCCCCAGAACATCAACAGAACCCCCCCGGGACCCCCAGAGCATCACGAGGTGACCCCTCAGCCCCCTCCCCGAATCCCAGAGGGTGTGGGGTGACCCCTCAGCCCCTCCTGCCCAGTGTGGGGGTCCCTCCGTATTTCCTGGGGTGACCCCCCCCCCGATTCCTGGGGTGAATCCCCCCATTTCCCAGTTTTTCCCCCCCAATTCCCGGGTGTCCCCCCCATTTCCCAGTTTTCCCCCCCCATTTCCTGGGTTTTCCCCCCCAATTCCCGGGGTGTCCCCCCTGCAGGTGCAGCAGATCAAGCAGATCAACAGTGGGCTCAGGCAGGCGCTGGACGGGGGCCTGGAGGGGCTGCGGCCCCCCGAGGTGGGTCCCCAGGATGTCCCCACGGTGTCCCCAGGGTGTCCCCACAGTGTCCCCACGGTGTCCCCAGGGGTTCCTGCCATTCCCCCCCAGTGACCCCACATTGTCCCCCTGTACCCCCCAGCTCCCTGCTCTGCCCCACTGTGTCCCCACCTGCCCCCACGGTGTCCCCCTGCACCCCACAGGTCCCTGCTCTGCCCCACAGTGTCACCACCGTGTCCCCACCTGCCTCCAGTGTCCCCCTGTACCCCACAGGTCCCTGCTCTGCCCCACAGTGTCACCACCGTGTCCCCACCTGCCTCCAGTGTCCCCCTGTACCCCACAGGTCCCTGCTCTGCCCCACAGTGTCACACCATGTCCCCCACAGCGTCCTGTCCTGTCCCTGCTCTGCCCCACAGTGTCACACCATGTCCCCACCTGCCCCACAGTGTCCCCCTGAACCCCACAGGGTCCCTGCTCTGCCCCACAGTGTCACACCATGTCCCCCACAGTGTCCCCTGTACCCCACAGGTCCCTGCTCTGCCCCACAGTGTCCCCACCGTGCCCCCACAGTGTCCCCATGTACCCCACAGGTCCCTGCTCTGCCCCACCGTGTCACACCATGTCCCCACCTGCCCCCACGGTGTCCCCCTGCACCCCACAGGTCCCTGCTCTGCCCCACTGTGTCCCCACCTGCCCCCACAGTGTCCCCACAGTGTCCCCCTGTACCCCCCAGGTCCCTGCTCTGCCCCACAGTGTCCCCACCTGTCCACACCTGCCCCACAGTGTCCCCCTGTGCCCCCCACAGGTCCCTGCTCTGCCCCACCGTGTCCCCACAGTGTCCCCCTGTACCCCTCAGGTCCCTGCTCTGCCCCACCGTGTCCCCACCTGCCCCCACAGCGTCCTGTCCTGTCCCTGCTCTGCCCCACAGTGTCCCCACAGTGTCCCCCTGTACCCCTCAGGTCCCTGCTCTGCCCCACCGTGTCCCCACCTGCCCCCACAGCGTCCTGTCCTGCCCCAAAGAGCCCTCACGGTGTCCCCCGTGTCCTGTCCCACCCCACCCCGTCACATGACGTCACCCCCACGCCCCACAGCGTCCCAGCCGCGTCCTGTCCTGCCCCACGGCGTCCCCACAGCGTCCCACCTGCCCCCAGGGTGTCCCCCTGTGCCCCCAAATCACCCCCTTTCCCCCCCTCAGGGCAACGGCAAGTTCAGCTCCCGCTGGACGACGGACGAGCAGCTGCTGGTGGTGCAGGGTGAGTGCCCATTGCCCTCGTTAACCTCGTTAACACCCCCGGCCCTCGTGTCCCCTCTGTGTCCCCTCTGTGTCCCCTCTGTGTCCCCTCTGTGTCCCCTCTGTGTCCCCTCTGTGTCCCTCTGTGTCCCCTCTGTGTCCCCCTCTGTGTCCCCTCTGTGTCCCCTCTGCGCCCCCTCTGTGTCCCCTCTGTGTCCCCTCTGTGTCCTCTCTGTGTCCCCTCTTGTGTCCCCTCTGTGTCCCCTCTGTGTCCCCTCTGTGTCCCCTCTGTGTCCCCTCTGTGTCCCCCTCTGTGTCCCCTCTGTGTCCCCTTTGTGTCCTCTCTGTGTCCCCTCTGTGTCCCCTCTGTGTCCCCTCTTGTGTCCCCTCTGTGTCCCCTCTGTGTCCCCTCTGTGTCCCCTCTGCGTCCCCTCTGTGTCCTCTCTGTGTCCCCTCTGTGTCCCCTCTTGTGTCCCCTCTGTGTCCCCTCTTGTGTCCCCTCTGTGTCCCCTCTGTGTCCCCCCATGGCCCTCACTCCCCACCGTGGCCTCCCAGCCCTCACTCCCCTGTGTCCCCCCATGGCCTTCACTCCCCCCTGACCCCCCCGGTGTCCCCCAGCCCTGACCTCCCTGTCCCCAGTCCTAACCCGGTGTCCCCCAGCCCTGACCTCCCTGTCCCCCCAGCCCTGACCCCCTGTCCCCCAGCCCTAACCCTGGTGTCCCCCAGCCCTGACCCCCTGTCCTCCCAGCCCTAACCCGGTGTCCCCCAGCCCTAACCCGGTGTCCCCCAGCCCTGACCCCCTGTCCCCAGCCTGACCCCCTGTCCCCCAGCCCTGACCCCCTGTCTCCAGCCCTGACCACCCCCTGTCCCCCAGCCCTGACCTCCCTGTCCCCCAGCCCTGACCCCCTGTCCCCTAGCCCTGACCTCCCTGTCCCCCAGCCCTGACCCCCTGTCCCCAGCCCTGACCTCCCTGTCCCCCAGCCCTGACCCCCTGTCCCCCAGCCCTGACCTCCCTGTCCCCCCAGCCCTGACCCCCGGTGTCCCCTCAGCCCTGACCCCCGGTGTCCCCTCAGCCCTGACCCCCGGTGTCCCCCAGCCCTGACCCCCTGTCCCCCAGCCTTGACCTCCCTGTCCCCCAGCCCTGACCCCCGGTGTCCCCCAGCCCTGACCCCCCAGCCCTGACCCCCTGTCCCCCAGCCCTGACCCCCAGTGTCCCCCAGCCCTGACCCCCCCAGCCTTGACCTCCCTGTCCCCCAGTCCTGACCCCCTGTCCCCCCAGCCTGACCCCCTGGTGTCCCCCAGCCCTGACCCCCTGTCCCCCAGCCCCTGACCCCCTAGTGTCCCCCAGCCCTGACCCCGGTGTCCCCCAGCCCTGACCCCACAGTGTCCCCCAGCCCTGACCCCCGGTGTCCCCCAGCCCTGACCCCACAGTGTCCCCCAGCCCTGACCCCCGGTGTCCCCCAGCCCTGACCCCCTGTGTCCCCCAGCCCTGACCTCCCTGTCCCCCAGCCCTAACCCCCTGACCTCCCAGCCCTGATCCCCTGTCTCCCCAGCCCTGACCCCCTGGTGTCCCCCAGCCCTACTGCCCCTGACCCCCAGCCCTGACCCCGGTGTCCCCCAGCCCTGACCCCCTGTCCCCCAGCCCTGACCCCCTGTCCCTCCAGCCCTGACCCCCGGTGTCCCCCCAGCCCTGACCCCCTGATGTCCCCCTGTCCCCCAGCCCTGACCCCCGGTGTCCCCCCAGCCCTGACCCCCTGATGTCCCCTGTGTCCCCAGCCCTGACCCCCCTGTCCCCCAGCCCTGACCCCCTGTCCCCCATCCCCAGCCCTGACCCCCTGTCCCCCAGCCCTGACCCCCTGTCCCCCCATCCCCAGCCCTGACCCCCGGTGTCCCCCAGCCCTGACCCCCTGGTGTCCCCCAGCCCTGACCTCCTGTCCCCCATCCCCAGCCTCTAACTCCCTGACCCCAGCCCTAACCCCCTGTCCCCCCAGCCCTGACCCCCTGTCCCCAGCCCTGACCCCCGGTGTCCCCCAGCCCTGACCCCTGACCCCCAGCCTGACCCCCGGTGTCCCCCAGCCCTGACCTCCTGTCCCCCATCCCCAGACCTGTCCCGCATCCCCAGCCCTAACCCGGTGTCCCCCAGCCCTGACCTCCCTGTCCCCCAGCCCTGACCTCCCTGTCCCCCCAGCCCTGACCCCCGGTGTCCCCCAGCCCTGACCCCCGGTGTCCCCCAGCCCTGACCCCTGACCCCCTGTCCCCAGCCCTGACCTCCCTGTCCCCCAGCCTGACCCCCAGGTGTCCCCCAGCCCTGACCCCCTGTCCCCCAGCCCTGACCCCCTGGTGTCCCCCAGCCCTGACCCCCTGTCCCCCACCCTGACCCCTGACCCCAGCCCTGACCCGGTGTCCCCCATCCCCAGCCTAACCCCGGTGTCCCCCAGCCCTAACCCCCTGTCCCCCAGCCTGACCCCCGGTGTCCCCCAGCCCTGACCTCCCTGTCCCCCAGCCCTGACCCCAGTGTCCCCCCCGCCCTAACCCCAGTGTCCCCATCCCCAGCCCTGACCCCCCTGATGTCCCCCTGTCCCCCCAGCCCTGCGCCGCTACGGCCGCGATTTCCCGGCGGTGGCCGCGGTGCTGGGGAACAAAACGGCCGCCCAGGTTCGCAGCTTCGTTCTGGGGCCCCGGCGCCGCCTCGGCCTCGAGCGGCTCCTGCGGGAGCGGCAGCGCCGGGGGGAGCCCCCCACAGACCCCCCCGGGGACGGGGACGAGGATGAGGAGGTGAGGAAGGGCCGGGCTGGGGTGGGGGTCCTGTGCTGTCCTGTCCTGACCCCGGCCCTGGGCCCAGTCCCAGTCCCAGCCCTGATGGTTGGACTGGTCCTGATCCCAGTCCCAGCCCTGCTCCCAGTCCCAGCCCTGATGGTTGGACTGGTCCTGCTCCCAGTCCCGGCCCTGCTCCCAGTCCCAGTCCCAGCCCTGATGGTTGGACTGGTCCTGATCCCAGTCCCGGCCCTGCTCCCAGTGCCAGTCCCAGCCCTGATGGTTGGACTGGTCCTGCTCCCAGTGCCGGCCCTACTCCCAGTGCCAGTGCCAGGCTGGGCCCAGGTTCCAGTCCATGCCCTGATCCTGACCCCACCCCACCAATCCTGGCCCAGCCCCATCCAATCCTGACCCCATCCCATTCAATCCCAACCCAATCCCATCAATCCCAACCCTGCCCCATCAATCCCGCCCTACAAATCCCAACCCTGCTCCACCAATCCTGACCCCACCCATTCAATCCCAACCCAATCCCATCAATCCCAACCCCACCCCCATGGACCCAAGGCCCTGCCCACTCTGGCTCCACCCACCCCACACCCTGCCCCGCCCCCAGCAGCCACCCTGACCCCGCCCCATCCGAGGCCCTGCCCCTCACCCCCTCTCTCCCACAGGTGCAGATCACGGGGTCTCCCACCTGGCCCCTCCCCTCAGCCTGCCTCGGCCCCTCCCCCATGGCGGCCCCTCCCCATCTCGGCCTCCGGCCCCGCCCCTTGCTGCGCCCGGCCCCGCCCCCGGCTCCTCCCCACGGCCCCTCCCGCGGCCGCCGCCTCCGCTGCAGCCAGGCCGGGCCCCGCCCCCTGCTCGGCCCCGCCCACAGCACCGGCCACGCCCCCACCGCAGGACACGCCCCCACGCTGAGCGCCCCTGCTGGGCCGGGGGCCGGGGGTGGGGAGCCGGGGAGGGCCCCGTTTGCAATAAAGGTATTTTAGTAGAGAGGCTGCGAGTGCTGCGGGCACTGGGGGGGCACTGGGAGCACTGGGAAGAAGAGTCCGCATTGGGAGCGCTGGTTTATACTGGGAGCTGTGGTCAGTACTGGTTTATACTGGGAGTGCTGGGGTGTACTGGGAAGAGCAGTCTGTGCTGGGAGCGCTGCTAAGTGCTGGGAGCACTGGTTAGTATTGGGAGCACTGGTCAGTACTGACAGCACTGGTTTATAGTGGGAGCACTGGTCAGTACTGGGAGCGCTGGTTTATACTGGGAGCACTGGTCAGTACTGACAGCACCACTCACAAGTGACGGATCTTTCTGGAAAGTTTTTAATTAGAACCTGGAAAATCCACCGTGGAGGGGGCGTGGCTGGGGGCGTGGCCACAGCTCGGCCCCTCCCCTGGGTATGTCCCCACCCCCCAGCTGGGGGCGGGGCTACAGCAGGTCAAAATTTGGGGGAAGGACCCCAGGAGCAGCAGCAGCCCTGCCTCCCCGGGGCCTTCCTGAGTGCGGGGGAGGGGCTGGGAGACACCCGGGGGGAGGGGCACAGGGGACACCCCATGTCCCCAAAGAGGGGGGGGGACTCCCATAAGGCCACCGGGGGGGGGTCCCTGGGGGGGCCCTGGACTGTCCCCATGTCCCCCCCTCTAAGGCTCGGGGACATCCCTGGGGGTCACCCGGGCTGTCCCCACGGGGCCCTGGGACGTCCCCAGGTGACCCAGGATGTCCCCAGGTGGCCCTGGGCCATCCAGGACATCCCCAGAGGTCACCCAGGACGTCCCAGAGTCCCTGATCAACCCCCGATGTCCCCAAGGCCTCTCGAGGCCCAGGACCCCTCGGGATGTCCCCACGGGTCCCTGGGCCACCCGGGATGTCCCCCTGCCCTCAGGAGGACCTTGTCACCTCCCCCCAAGAAGATCCCCACAGGTCCTTGGGCCACCAGGGTGTCCCCAAACAGGTCCCAGAGCCATCCAGACTCTTGTCCCAAAGGCCCATCCAGGATGTCCCCACGTCCTCCAAGGCCCTGGACCCCACAGAACGTCCCCAGATGTCCCAGGGGCATCCAGGTGATCCCCAGAGGTCCCAGGTCCATCCTGGAGGTCCTGGGGCCATCCAGGAGGTCCCCATGAAGACCTGGACCCCACAGAGGGTCCATCCCGGTGCTCCCGTGTCCCCCCTGGGGACCCTCCTGGCCGTGCCCGTGGCTCAAGAGCTCGGTGGCCACCTCGGAGCTGCTCCCGGGCCACCCCCTCCACGCACTCCTGGGTCCCCTCCCCGTCCGTGTGTCCATGACCTGGAGCTTGGTGACCACCCTGGAGGTGTCCTGGGTCCCCTCCCTGTCCGTGTGTCCATGACCTGGAGCTTGGTGGCCACCCTGGAGGTGTCCTGGGTCCCCTCCCTGTCCGTGGCTCAAAGCTCGAGCTCCTTGGCCACCCCGAGGCGCTCCTGGGTCGCCACGTCCGTGTCGGTGACTCCGAGCTCGGGGGGCTGCCCTGGGGGGCACTCCCGGGGTCCCCATGTCCGTGTCCACGTCTTGGAGCTCGGGGGCACTCCCGGGGTCCCCGTGTCAGTGACCCCGAGCCCAGGGGACACTCCTGGGGTCCCCGTGTCCGTGTCAGTGACCCCAAGCCCAGGGGGCACTCCCGGGGTCCCCGTGTCCGTGTCTTGGAGCTCAGGGACACTCCCGGGGTCCCCGTGTCCGTGCCTTGGAGCTCAGGGACACTCCTGGGGTCCCCGTGTCCGTGCCTTGGAACTCAGGGACACTCCCAGGGTCCCCATGTCCATGTCTTGGAGCTCGGGGGGCACTCCCGGGGTCCCCGTGTCCATGTCAGTGACCCCAAGCTCTGGGGGCACTCCCGGGGTCCCCGTGTCCATGCCTTGGAGCTCGAGGACACTCCCGGGGTCCCCGTGTCCGTGCCTTGGAGCTCAGGGGCACTCCCGGGGTCCCCATGTCCGTGACCCCAAGCCCAGGGGACACTCCCGGGGTCCCCGTGTCCATGTCAGTGACCCCAAGCTTGGGGGACACTCCGGGGTCGCCGTGTCCGTGTCTTGGAGCTCAGGGACACTCCCAGGGTCCCCGTGTCCGTGCCTCGGAGCTCGAGGACACTCCCAGGGTCCCCATGTCCATGACCCCAAGCCCAGGGGACACTCCCGGGGTCCCCGTGTCCGTGCCTCGGAGCTCAGGGACACTCCTGGGGTCCCCATGTCCGTGCCTCGGAGCGGGGCCGGCTCAGCGGGCGGCTCAGAGCTTGAGCTCGTTGGCCACCTTGGAGGCGATGTTCTTGAAGGCCATGGAGGTGCCGGCGATGCGCTTGAAGCGGACGCCGTTGAGGGAGAGCCGGGGCAGTTTGCAGACCTCCATCTCCCACTGCACGAAGGAGTCGTGGCCGGGGCTGCCGTGGGCGCAGAGCAGCACGAAGCGCTCCTGGGGCTCGCAGCGGCAGCTGTTGGCGTCCAGCACCTTGCGGATCTCGCGCAGCATCTCCCCGGGCTCCAGCGAGCTCGTGGTCTTCATGCTCCACGTGAAGCGCAGCGAGCGCGGCTTGGCGTCGCGCCCGCCCCCGTCACGGGGGTCCTTCTCGGGGCCCACCGCCGGCCTGGGGGGGACAGGGGGTTAGGGGGCCTGAGGGGACAGGAGGGTCGCCTCGGGGCCCACCGCCGGCCTGGGGGACAGGGGTAGGGCGGGGCCTCTCAGAGGCCCACCGCGGCCTGGGGGACAGGGGGGTTAGGGGGCCTGGAGGGCCCACAGCGGAGTCAGGGGGCTTAGGGGGTCCTTGTTAGGGCCCACCGCTGGCCTGGGGGACAGCGGGGTTAGGGGGCCTGGGAGTCCTTCTCAGGGCCCACTGCCGGCCTGGGGGGCAGGGGTTAGGGGCCTGGGGGTCCTTCTCGGGGCCCACCGCCGGTCTAGGGGGCAGGCGGGGGGTTAAGGGGCCTGGGGTCCCCAGAGATGTCATAAGGGAGGTTCTGGGGGTCCTTCTCGGGGCCCTAGCCAGCCTGGGAGCAGGGGTTAGGGGGCCTGGGGTCTGTAGGGCCAGCGCCTGGTAGGGGTCTGGGGGTTTGGTAGGGCCACGTCTGGGCAGTCCTGGTCAGGGCCCATGGCGATCTGAGGGACAGGGAGCTTAGGGGTCTGGGGGGTCCTGATCAGGGACCGCCAGTCTGGGAGGCAGGCTGGGGTCTGGGGTGAGGCACGCACGGGGGTGTCAGGGCAGGGGACCTCGCGGGGGTGTCAGGGGGACCCTAGGGGGGTGTCAGGGGACCTGGGGTGTCCCCGGGGGTGTCAGGGGACCTGGGGGTGTCAGGGGACCTGGGGGGGTGTCAGGGGGACCTGGGGGTGTCCCAGGGGGTGTCAGGGGGACCTGGGGGTGTCAGGGGACCTGGGAGTGTCAGGGGACCTGGGAGTGTCCCCAGGAGTGTTCCCAGACTCACCTCAGCGTCTCCACCCTGTCCTTGCTCTCGGGCTCGTGCGGGTTCCTCGGGAGACAAAGAGGGGCCCAGATCAGTGAGGGGGGCTGGGGGAGGGCAGCCCTTCCCCACCCCCAGAGAGGGACCCGGGGTGGGAGGGACAGACAGCACGGGGGAGGGGGACACACAGACACGGGGTGGGGACACACACGGACAGCTGGGGGAGGGGCCATGCGGGGCCGTGCAGCGCTGGGGGTCAGGGGGTTCAGGGGGTGGGACCTGCTCTCCCAGGGGTTTGGGGGGTTTTTGGGAGGTCCATGCGGGGCCCCACGTCAGCGCGGCCCTACCTTCTGGCAAACCTGAAAGACAGATTTCTACAAAGACAAACAGAAGAGAAGGGCGGCGTTGGGGGAAGGGCCGGGACAGAGCCACCCCCACCCCAGAGACCCCCAGGACCCCCAAACCCCCGAGCGGGGTGGGGTCGCTGGGACGGGCTGGGGGTCCTGGGGAAGCAGCACCCCACCCCCTCCTCAGGGCCCACACGGGCAGGGGGACAGAGGGACAGGAGGGGACATTGCGGGGGGGGCCCAGATGGGACATTTGGGGATGGGGGGGGGGTCTCAGATGGGAAATTCCAGGACAAAAAGAACATGCAGGGATAGGAGGGGATATGAGGGGGGTCCCTCATCAAGAGGAGCAGTGGGAGAGCTGAGGGGACACGGGGGGGCCCTGAGGGGACAAGAGGGGACATGCAGGGACAGGAGAGGGTCCCCAAGGGACAGGAGGGGACGTGGAAGGACACAGAGGAGGGACAAGGGACAGGAAAGCCCTGAGGGACACCAAGGGGACAGGCCAAGGGGACAAAGGATCCCTGGAGGGACAAGAGGACACCGAGGAGCCCTGGGGGTGCCGGGGGGGCAGCATGGGGACAACCAGAGGGACACAGAACCCCTGGGGGTGCCAGGGGGGCAGCCTGGGGACAACCAGAGGGACAAAGAACCCCTGGGGGTGCCAGGGGGGCAGCCTGGGGACAACCAGAGGGACTGAGAACCCCTGGGGGTGCCAGGGGGGCAGCATGGGGACAAATAGAGGGATTGAGAACCCCTGGGGGTGCCAGGGGGGCAGCCTGGGGACAACCAGAGGGACAGAGAACCCTGGAGCACCCAGAGGACACACCAAGGGGACACAGCAGGCAGCCCAGGGGACACACAGAGGGGACACTGAGGGGACAGAGGAGTCTGGGGGTCCAGGAGCAGCCTGGGACACACCAAGGGGACACACCGAGGGGAAAAAGGAGTCTGGGGGTCCAGGGGTCAGCCCAGGACTCACTGAGGGGACACTGAGGGGACACTGAGGGCACACAGGAGGCAGCCCAGGGGACACACCGAGGGGACACTGAGGGGACACCAAAGGGACACAGGGAGAGGACACACCGAGGGGACATCAAAAGGTCACACTGAGGGGACACCAAAGGGACACAGGGAGAGGACACACCGAGGGGACATCAAAAGGTCACAACAAGGGGACAGTGAGGGGACGCTGAGGGGACACTGAGGGGACACAGCAAGGGGACACCAAAGGGACCCACTGAGGGGCTGCCCTGCTCCAGAGTGAGCCCAAAACACACCAAGGGAACACAGGGAGGGGACACCAAAGGCACAGCAAGGGGACACCAAAGGGACACCGAGGGGACACCAAAAGGACACTGAGGGGACACCAAAGGGACATCGAGGGTACCCACAGAGAGGACACCAAAGGGACACACCAAGGGGACACCAAGAGGACACACCGAGGGGACACCAAAGGGACACCGAGGGTACCCACAGAGAGGACACCAAAGGGACACACCGAGGGGACACCAAGGGGACACACCGAGGGTCCATGTTGAGGAGACACCAAGGGGACACAGTGAGGAGACACCAAAAGGACACACTGAGGGGACACCAAAGGGACACCGAGGGTACCCATTGAGGAGACACCAAGGGGACACACCAAGGGTCCCCACAGAGGGGACACCAAGGGGACACCAAAGGGACACTGAGGGGACACCAAAGGCACACCGAGGGTACCCACTGAGGGGACACCCAAGGGACACCAAGGGGACACCAAGAGGACACACCGAGAGGACACCGAGGGGACACACCGAGGGTCCCTATTGAGGAGACACCAAAGGGACACACCAAGGGGACACCAAAGGACACTGAGGGGACACCAAGGGGACACCAAGGGGACACACTGAGGGTACCCATTGAGGAGACACCAAGAAGACACACCAAGGGGACACACCGAGGGGACACCAAAGGCACACCGAGGGTACCCACAGAGGGGACACCAAGGGGACACCGAGGGGACACCAAGGGGACACCAAAGGACACACTGAGGGTACCCATTGAGGAGACACCAAAGGGACACACCAAGGGGACACCAAAGGGACACTGAGGGTCCCCATTGAGGAGACACCAAAGGGACACAGTGAGGAGACACCAAAGGCACACCGAGGGTCCCCACAGAGGGATCACCAAGAGGACACACCAAGGGGACACCAAGGGGACACATTGAGAGTACCCATTGAGGAAACACCAAGGGGACACCAAGAGGACACACCAAGGAGACACCAAATGGACACACCGAGGGTACCCATTGAGGAGACACCAAAGGGACACCAAAGGGACACACCAAGGGGACACCAAAGGCACACCGAGGGTCCCCATTGAGGAGACACCAAAGGGACACACCAAGGGGACACCGAAGGGACACCAAAGGGACACCAAAGGCACACCGAGGGTCCCCCCAGCCCCCGTGCCCCCCGTGCTCACCTGCGCACGAACTTGGAGGTGAACTTGCTGAAGAGGCTGGCGGAGGGGCCGCGCCGGCCTGGCTGGCGCCCGAGGGGAGGCGGGGGGGCAGCCCGGGGGCAGCGCGTGGGGCAGGGGGTCCCGCAGCGGCCGCAGCTGCCCCGCGTGGAACGTGCTGCGGCTCGAGACCCCCGAGGAAGCTCGGCCGCCTCCCCGGGACCACCCTGGCTCACGTTGTGGGCGGAGGGGACGCCGCCGGGACACGGGGGGCACTGCTGTGAGGACAAGGGGGGGGTCAGGGGTGCAGGACAGGGGGTGACACCCTGACACCCCCAGAACCCTGGGACCCTCACACAGCACCCTAGGACCCCCACACAGCTCCCGGGACCACCCTGGCTCACGTTGTGGGCGGAGGGGACGCCGCCGGGACACGGGGGGCACCGCTGTGGGGACAAAGGGAGGGGGGGTCAGGGGGGGTGACACCTCTGACACCCTCACACAACACCCTGAGACCCCCACACAGCAACCTAGGACCCCCACACAGCTCCCTGGGACCACCCTGGTTCACGTTGTGGGCAGAGGGGGACACTGCCGGGAGGTGGGGGGGGCACCGCTGTGGGGACAAAGGGAGGGGGGGTCAGGGGGGGTGACACCTCTGACACCCTCACACAGCTCCCTGAGACCCTCACACAGCACCCTAGGACCCCCACACAGCACCCTGAGACCCTCACACAGCACCCTAGGACCCCCACACAGCACACTGAGACCCTCACACAGCACCCTGAGACCCTCACACAGCACCCTAGGACCCCCACACAGCACCCTGAGACCCTCACACAGCACCCTGAGACCCCCACACAGCTCCCTGGGACCCTCACACAGCTCCCTGGGACCCTCACATAGCAACCTAGGACCCCCACACAGCACCCTGAGACCCCCACACAGCACCCTGAGACCCCCACACAGCACCCTGAGACCCTCACACAGCACTCTGAGACCCTCACACAGCACCCTGAGACCCCCACACAGCTCCCCGGGACCACCCTGGCTCACGTTGTGGGCAGAGGGGGACAAGGCTGGGACAGGGGTGGGCACCTCCCTGGGGGCACACAGGGAATTTGGGGGGGGTTTAGGGGGGTGGGTGACACCTCTCACCCCACCCCTGCACCCTGGGGACCCCCCCCACAGACCCCTGTGCCTCCCCTGGCTCGTGCTGTGGGCACAGGGGGACGTGGCTGGAATTTGGGTGGGCCCCCCAAGGAAATGGGGGGTTGAGGGGGGGGACATGGACCACCCTGACCCCCTCCCATCTGCACCCTGGGACCCCCAGAGATCCCCCCATGAGAAGCTGGGGGTCTCCCCAGCACCCTGATGGGCACCCCACTGCAGGCACAGGGGCTGGGGGGGCACAGTGGGGGCTGGGGGCACGGTGGGGGCTGGGGGCACAGGGGGGCTGAAACCCAGTGTGGGATTTTGGGGGGTTTTGGGGATTTTGGGGTCCCCACCTGTCCTTGCCGTTCTGCAGGGAGCTCTGGCCCAGGCTGGCCCGGTCCAGCAGGGGGGAGTTCCTGCTCCTCGTGGTGCCCGTGGACAGGACGCTGTTCTGTGGGGGGGGGGGACACACAAATTGGGGCTGGGGGGGTCACAAACCCCCCATGGGACCCCCAAAATGGGGGACACGGGGTTTGGGGACCCTCCAAAAGGGTTTTAGGGGAACCAGGGCAGGCTGAGAGATCCCGATCCCACCCCTGCACCCCAAAGACTTTGACCCTCCCAAAAAAACAGGGAGCCCAAATATTTGGGGTCCCCCCTCCCCATCTCTGCACCCCCAACAGGTGTTGCCCCCCCAAACCTGGGGGATCCAGGTGTCTGGAACCCCAAAACTGGGAGATCCAGGTGTCTGGGATCCCCAAAACTGGAAGATCCAGGTGTCTGGGACCCCCAAAACTGGGGAATTCCAAGTGCCTGGGACGCCCCCACACTCCCAGGAGATGGAAATAGTTGAGACCACCCCCCTCCCACCCCACAGGATCTTGTCCCCCCAAACCTGGGGGATCCAGGTCTCTGGACCCCCAAAACTGGAAGATCCAGGTCTCTGGGACCCCTAAAACCCTGGGGGATCCAGGTGCCCCCCCAAAAGCCACTCCCAGGGGTCCCAGCCCTGGGTGCCCCCACCACTTCCCCACAGATCTGAGTGCCCCCAGCCCTCCTCCCCTCTCCCCTCCATCCTGGGGTCCCAGCCCTGGGTCCCCTCCCCCAGCCCTGGGTGCCCCCACCCTCCCCGACCCCGGGGTTACCGTGGAGGGGAGGTGCCCTGGGCGCTCCAGGCCGGGCAGGGGCTGGGGGCACCTTGGCTGTGCTGCCCGCCCGGCGCCCCCCGCCCTCCTCCTCAGGACCCCCCACTCCTCCTCCTCCTCCTCCTCCTCCTCCTCCCCCCGGGCCCCCCCCTCGTTTGTTCTCCGCGTTGGCCCCCGGGGGCTTCTTGGAGTAGGAGGCCGAGGTGGGGATGGACAGGCCGGCTGGGGGGGGGAAAAAAGGGGTGTCAGGGCTCGGGAGGGGTCCCACTCCCTGCCCAGGGGGTCCAGGGGGTCTCTGCTGCACCCCCAGACCCACAGGGACACCCCCAGATTCAATTCACCCCTCCCCTCCCGGCCTGGGGGTCCAGGTCACGCTTTGCCACCTCCAAAAGTTCCCTGTGGGGGTCTGGACACCCCCATTCCCACCCCAAAGGGGCCTGGGGGTCTGGGCACCCCCATTCCCACCCCAAAGGGGCCTGGGCACCCCCATTGCAGGGGTCTGGGCACCCCCATTCCCACCAAAGGGCCTAGGCACCCCCATTGCAGAGGTCTGGGCACCCCCATTCCCACCCCAAAGGGGCCTGGGGGTCTGGGCACCCCCCTTCCAGGGATCTGGGTACCCCCATTCCCACCCCAAAGGGCACCCCCATTGCAGGGGTCTGGGCAGCCCCATTGCCAGCCCAAAGGGGCCTGGGGGTCTGGGCACCCCCATTGCAGGGGTCTGGGCACCCCCATTCCCACCCCACAGGGCACCCCCATACCAGGGGTCTGGGCACCCCCATTCCAGGGGTCTGGGCACCCCCATTCCCACCCCACAGGACACCCCCATTCCAGGGGTCCAGACACCCCCATTCCCACCCCACAGGGCACCCCCATACCAGGGGTCTGGGCACCCCCATTCCAGGGGTCTGGGCCTGTTCCCACCCTCAAGGACCCCACACTTCCCACACCCCAGGGGTCCAGCCCACCCTCCTCCTGCCCCAGGGTCCCGCAGCATCGGGAGAGCCCCCTCTGCTCCCAAAGGAGCCAGGCCTGTGAGCCCCCTGCTCTATCCCTGGGTGCCCCCCACCCCAGAGCCCCCCAGACTCCCCAAAGCCCCTCACCCTGGTCGCTGACGCGCCGTTTGGGGTTGGCAGAGCCCCCAGAACCCCCTCAAAGCCCCCAGACCCCCCAAAGCCCCTCAAAGCCCCCTGAGCCCTCACCGTGGTCGCTGACGTGCCATTTGGGGTTGGCAGAGCCCCCAGAACCCCGCAAAGCCCCCAGAGCCCTCCAGACCCCCCGAGCCCCTCACCCTGGTCGCTGACACGCCGCTTGGGGTTGGAAGAGCCCCCTGAGCCCCCAGGTCCCCAAAGCCCACCCTGCTGCGCGCACCGCTTGGGGTTGGCAGAGCCCCCAGAGCCCTCAAAGCCCCCAAAGCCTCCCAGACCCCCAAAGCCCCTCACCCTGGTCGCTGACGCGCCGTTTGGGGTTGGCCGACACGCTGCGCTGCACTTTGTGCGCGGGGGAGGGTCCCGAGCTGTTGGCCACCTCTGGGGCCACCCGGGGCTTCAGGGACAGCGTCTCGTCCAGCTGGGGACAGGGGGGACACGTGGGGACATGTGGGGGACAGGTGGGGACATGTGGGGGACAAGGGACGGGTGGGGACAAGGGAGGACAAGGGGATGTGTGGGGGACACTCCCCACCCTGTGTCCCCTGTCCCCATCCTGTGTCCCCCTGCCCTGCCCCCCACTCTGTGCCCCCTGTCACACCCACGTCCCCTGTCCCTCCTCGTGCCCCTCCCTGTCCCCAGGTCCCCCTCATTCCCCCTGTGCTCCTGTCCCCGTGTCACCTCAGTGTCCCCAGGTCCCCTCACCCTCACGTCTCCACGATCCTCCACTGTCCCTGTGGCTCTCCCAGTGTCCCCTTATCCTGCTGTCACCTCACTGTCCCCACTGACCCACCCAATGTTCCCTTGTCCTGCTGTCACCTCACTGTCCCCCTGACCCTCCCAATGTCCCTTTGTCCTGCTGTCACCTCACTGTCACCTCACTGTCCCCCTGACCCTTCCAATGTCCCCTTGTCCTGCTGTCACCTCACTGTCCCCACTGACCCTTCCAATGTCCCCTTGTCCTGCTGTCACCTGTCATCCTGACCCTCCCAATGTCCCCTTGTCCTACTGTCACCTCAGTGTCACCTCACTGTCCCCATGACCCTCCCAATGTCCCCTTGTCCTGCTGTCACCTATCCCCAACCCTCCCAATGTCCCCTCGCTCATCCCCTCCCACACCCCCTGCCCTCACCTCCCCATTGTTCCCCTGTCCCCTGCAGTGTCCCTGCTGTCCCAAGTGTCCCCAGTGTCCCTGCAGTGTCCCTGCCATCCCCAGTGTTCTCCACTGTCCCCCAGTATCCTTGCAGTGTCCCCACTGTCCCCCAGTGTCCCTACAGTGTCCCCACTGTCCCTGATGTCCCTGCAGTGTCCCCAGTGTCCCTCAGTGTCCCCCATTGTCCCCACTGTCCCCCAGTGTCCCTGCTGTCCCCCAGTGTCCCTGCAGTGTCCCCACTATGCCTGCAGTCCCCAGTGTCCCCACTGTCCCCCAGTGTCCCCACTGTCCCCCAGTGTCCCTGCTGTCCCCCAGTGTCCCTGCAGTGTCCTCAGTGTCCCCAGCGTCCCTGCAGTGTCCCCAGTGTCCCCACTGTCCCCAGTGCCCCTGCAGTGTCCCCACTGTCCCTGCAGTATCCTCAGTGTCCCCGGTGTCCCTGTAGTGTCCCTGCAGTGTCCCCAGTGTCCCCCAGTGTCCCCTATAGTGTCCCCACTGTCCCTGCAGTATCCTCAGTGTCCCCGGTGTCCCTGCAGTGTCCCCACTGTCCCCCAGTGTCCCCACTGTCCTCCAGTGTCCCTGCAGTGTCCCCAGAGTCGCCGGTGCCCCCTCACCTCGGAGCTCTTGTGGTCCAGCAGCAGGTAGGTGGCCATCACCTCGTTGTACTTCTGCCCCACCAGGGACTCCTGGATCTCCTCCCTCGTGTAGCCCATGGACACCATCAGCTCTGGGGGGGCACACAGCCCTCAGGGGGGGGTCCCACGGCCACCAGGGGGGTCCCTGTGCCCCCCAGGGGGGTCCCCACCTGTCCTCCGGGGGTCCTTGTAGTCGGGCACGGGCTCCATGTAGGGCTTGAGCTCGTCGTCCTCGTGGCCCACGTTCATCCACCGGTCCTTCATGATTTGCTGGGGGGCACAAAGGGGGGCTCTGGGGGTCCTGGGGTCACCCCTGGGGGCTGGGGACATTGGGGGCAGAAGGGGGCTCTGGGGGTTCCTGGATGCTGGCTGGGGGCTAAGGGGATGGGAGAGTGCTGGGGGGTGTTCCATGATGGCTTTGGGGGTTCCCTGAAGGTCCTGGGGGGCTCTTGGGTGTGTCCAGGCCAATGTTGGGGGTCCCCAGAAGGTCCTGGGGGGCTCTTGGGGGTGTCCAGGACCACGTTGGGGGTCCCCAGAAGGTCCCGGGGGCTCTTGGGGATGTCCAGGACCACTCTGGGGAGTCCCTGGGGGGGCTCCTGTGGCACCCAAACCCCCCCATGGTGCCCACCCCCCCTCACCTCCAGGGTGCCCCTCTTGGTGGGGTTGAGGATGAGGAATTTCTTGAGCAGGTTCTCGCAGTCCGTGGACATGTAGAAGGGGATCCGGTACTTCCCCCGCAGGACCCGCTCCCGCAGCTCCTGCCGACCCCAAATCCACTGTCAGCACCCCAAAACTGCCAGGGGGACACCAAAAACACCCCTCAGTGCCCCAAAACTGCCAGGGGAACCCCAAAACCACCAGGGGGACACCAAAAACACCCCTCAGCGCCCCAAAACCGCCAGGGAAACACCAAAAACACCCCTCAGCGCCCCAAAACTGCCAGGGGAACACCAAAAACACCCCTCAGTGCCCCAAAACCACCAGGGGGACACCAAAAACACCCCTCAGTGCCCCAAAACTGCCAGGGGGACACCAAAAACACCCCTCAGTGCCCCAAAACTGCCAGGGGACACCAAAAACACCCTCAGTGCCCCAAAACTGCCAGGGAACACCCAAAACCACCAGGGGGACACCAAACACCCTCCAGTGCCCCAAACCTGCCAGGGGACACCAAAACACCCCCAGTGCCCCCAAAACTGCCAGGGGAACCCCAAAACCACCAGGGGGACACCAAAACCACCAGGGGGACACCAAAAACACCCCTCAGCGCCCCAAAACCGCCAGGGGAACACCAAAAACACCCCCCAGTGCCCCAAAACTGCCAGGAGAACACCAAAAACACCCCTCAGTGCCCCAAAACCGCCAGGAGAACACCAAAAACATCCCTCAGCACCCCAAAACCACCAAGGGAACACCAAAAACACCCCCCAGTGCCCCAAAACTGCCAGGAGAACACCAAAACCACCAAGGGAACACCAAAACCACCAGGGGGACACCAAAAACACCCCTCAGTGCCCCAAAACTGCCAGGGGAACACCAAGAACACCAGGGGGACACCAAAAACACCCCTCAGTGCCCCAAAACCACCCTCAGTACCCAAAAACGTCCCCCAGCACCCCTGCTGGCACCACAAAACCACCCCCTGGACACCAAAACCGTGCTCAGGAGCCCAAAAACCAGCCGTGGGCACCCCAAAAACATCTGAAAACCACCTATGAGAGCCCAAACCGTCCAGGGGCACCCCAAACCCACCTGAAAAGCACCTATGAGAGCCCCAGAACTCTCCAGGGCCACCTCAAAAGCACCTGAAAACCTCTGTGAGACCCCAAAACCACCTGCAAACCACCTGTGAGATCCCCAAAGCCCACCCATGGGCACCCCAAAGCCACCTGAAAAGCACTGGTGGGACCCCAAAACCCTCCAGGGCCACCTCAGGACCACTTGGAAACTGCTGTGAGACCCCAAAACCATCTGAAAATCAACCGTGAGAGCCCCAAACCCACCCGGGGATGCCTCAGCAACCACCTGAAAACTTCTGTGAGACCCCAAAACCATCTGACAAACCACCTATGAGAACCCCAAAACCCTCCAGGGCCACCTCAGCACCACTATAAAACTTCTGTGAGACCCCAAAACCACCTACAAACCACCTATGAGAACCCCAAAGCCCTCCAGGGCCACCTCAGGACCACTTGAAAACTTCTGTGAGACCCCAAAACCACCTGAAAATCAACCGTGAGAGCCCCAAACCCACCCGGGGACGCCTCAGAACCACCTGAAAACTTCTGTGAGATCCCAAAACCACCTGAAAATCAACCGTGAGAGCCCCAAACCCACCCGGGGACGCCTCAGAACCACTTGAAAACTTCTGTGAGATCCCCAAACCACCCGCAAATCAACCGCGAGAGCCCCAAACCCACCCGGGGACGCCTCAGAACCACCTGAAAACTTCTTTGAGACCCCAAAACCATCTGCAAACCACCTGTGAGAACCCCAAAACCCTTGAGGGCCACCTCAGGACCGCTATAAAACTTCTGTGAGATCCCAAAACCACCTGCAAATCAACCGTGAGAGCCCCAAACCCACCCGGGGACGCCTCAGAACCACCTGAAAACTCCTGTGAGACCCCAAAACCATCTGAAAAACACCTATGAGAACCCCAAAACCCACCCGGGGACACCTCAGAACCACCTGAAAACTTCTGTGAGACCCCAAAACCATCTGAAAACCACCAATGAGAACCCCAAAACCCTCCAGGGCCACCTCAGGACCACTTGAAAACTTCTGTGAGACCCCAAAACCACCTAAAAATCAACTGTGAGAACCCCAAAACCCTCCAGGGCCACCTCAGCACCACCTGAAAACTTCTGTGAGACCCCAAAACCACCTGCAAACCACCTATGAGAACCCCAAAACCCTCCAGGGCCACCTCAGGACCACTTGAAAACTTCTGTGAGATCCCAAAACCATCTGAAAATCAACCGTGAGAGCCCCAAACCCACCCGGGGACGCCTCAGAACCACCTGAAAACTTCTGTGAGATCCCAAAACCATCTGAAAACCAACCGTGAGAGCCCCAAAACCCTCCAGGGCCACCTCAGGACCACTCGAAAACTTCTGTGAGACCCCAAAACCACCTGAAAATCAACCGTGAGAGCCCCAAACCCACCCGGGGACGCCTCAGAACCACCTGAAAACTTCTGTGAGACCCCAAAACCACCTGAAAATCAACCGTGAGAGCCCCAAACCCACCCGGGGACGCCTCAGAACCGCCTGAAAGCCACCTGTGAGACCCCAAAACCACCCCTGGCACCCCAAAACCCGCCGACCTTGAGGTTCTGCCCGTCGAAGGGCAGCGAGCCGCTGACCAGGGTGTAGA